AACAACCCCCAACTCTCTCAGGCTGTCTTCATAGGAGAGGTGCTCCAGCCCTCGGATCATTTTTGTGGCCCTCCTCTGGACCCACTCCAACAGGTCCATGTCCTTCTTATGTTGGGGGCCCCAAAATTGCACGCAGTACTCCAGGCGAGGTCTCACGAGAGCAGAGCAGAGTGAGAGAATCACCTCCCTTATGCTGCTGGTCACGCTTCTTTTGATACAGCCCAGGATATGGTTGGCTTTCTGGGCTGCAAGCGGACATTGCTGAGTCATGGTGGGCTTCTCATCAACCAACACGCCCAAGTCCTTCTCCTCAGGGCTGCTCTCAATCCATTCTCTGCCCAGCCTGTATTTGTGCTTGGGATTGCCCTGACCCATGTGCAGGACCTTGCACTCGGCCTTGTTGAACTTCCTGAGGTTCGCATGGGCCCACCTTTCGTGCTGCCATGCTGTAAACAACAATACTAAGGCACATCTAGTCACCACAGGCAGGCTCTCAGCACAGCTCCGTACCCGCAGATTCAAAGGACCTCCGTCCCCACCAAGTCACTTGTCTACGTGGCCGGGTTTTCAGAGGAGCTCAGCAGCCTGCGGGGTTGTGCAGGTGCCTACAGGGAGGCAAAGAAACTGCAGAAAAGCTGGCTCTACGAGTCAAGGATGTGCACATGGAAATCTGGCCCTACGGGTGGCGAAACACTTCTCAAAATAAAAGTTGCCCAGCATATCAACACCACTTTAATAAATACTAGAAGTAGTGAAATGATTTTTTAATAATGCTTTGACAATTAAGAAGCCTGACAGAAACAGAAACCGGAAACCGGAAATACTTTATCATCAACTCTTTGCAAAAGCGTATTTTTCATTCCAGTAAAAGAAACACACCAACTTTCCTTTTTCCATCTTATTAAATATTTCCTAGACAAACTAGACTGTCTTTGCTTAGTCAAATATCACTACTTGTCTAAATAAAATTCAGAGAAAAACTTTTCTGTGTTGACTGTTCTTGACATCAATATCCATTGGATAACAGAAGTCATAGAGAGCATTCGCTCCTATCTGCGAAAAGCAAGTTCTTGAACACGTTTCCTCTATTTTGATGTACCTACTTAAAAGAAATCTGAACAAACAGGAATCTAACCCTAACTAATCATTCAGTGTATTGTTTAAAGTCTTCTGAGCTGGAGAACTCCTTCAGCTTTCTTAGCAGTTGAAAGTACAGGATCTGGAACCACAGCATATATGCCTAATTGCTTGCGTGCTTCTTCAGCCTCTCCAGATTAGTTTATACCACAAATGCTACCGCTTACATCTAGTGATTTCAGAAGAGTATTCCTCCTGCTTGAAATGCATACATGGGCCAATGGTATAATAAATTCATAGAAGCAAAATGATATGCAGTCATAAACAGAAATGAAAACCAAGCGTTTTTCTAGAGGGCAGGGTTCACAAATGCAGGGTTCACCAATGGTTTTCCAAAATGTTCTGCTGCACATAATGGAGCCGCAGAGCACGCCTGCACAGAGCTGCAGCAGTGGAGGGACTTTAAAAACCAAATATCCAAGTGTCTGCTCATTGTGCTTTGCTCAGACTCCTGACTGCAGCATCCGGTCCTGCGCCTTCCTCCTCACATTCTGATGGGATGTGGCAATCCAAAACATATTAGTACTTACCATATGAGCTGCGGGAATTCACCTGTGCCAGAATGGTATGGAAACTACTTGTATTTCTGTGCCAGGCATGTCTGGGGAGGAGTCTCAAGAGCCTACAGACTGCAGGCTCCAGGACAAAACCGATATGCAATTGCTCAGTGATGCATAATATTGAAGCAATACTAAAAAAAATGACATTACGGTCATTTCTGTACAATATAGGCTAATACAGGATTTGGGGATTGCTCAAATTCAGCAGAACAGTAAATCAAAATTTCAATTAAAAGTGGATTACGAGTACTTAAGGTTTACAGTCTGTCCCAAGCCAAAGACTTAAGCAAGCCCGTTTTCCAGATCTTGGCTGTTATTTGTGAAGCCTCTACTTTCTGTTTTGTTTTGTTATTTAAACTTTTCATTTACAAAGCAGTAAGATTTTCATTTTTACAGCATTTTTTTTTTCTGAGGCAGGAACTTGTCTTCACCAAGTAAGTCCCTGCTCTGCAAAACACTTGAGCTAACACAGAGGAAAAAGTACAATCCTGCCATATCTCCGCAGCATGGGAGAAGCCTTACGGCGGCGAAACCGTAACACTCTGCTGGAGAGGGCAGCTTGTGCTGGCTGCATGTCACAGAGCTGTACTCCATGGAGACGCTATAGGACCATCCACGGGAGGTGGGATGAGTGAGGCCATGTGTCCCTGGATCCACTGGCTGTTTTCCCCTAGGGAATGAGGAGAAACAGGAGCTACAGGAAAAAAACCTCTATTGCTCTGTGGTCGGGGTGGGAACCGCACAGCAAGCCCACGGCTCTCCCACTGGTTGCATCGCCTGCGCGTGCCTACACCCACCCCAGGAGCACGGCCAGCGGGCTCACACAATATTTAAGCTTTAGTCCATATATGGTGTTTTGCTTTGGCACAGTCCAGTTGAGCTGTAAAATATATGTCTAATGTGCGTCATGCAGCTTTTAAAAGATCCCTCATGCAGAACTACCTGCAAAATTATGGTAGGCACTGAAATGTTAGCATTGTGACTAGTCCTAAAGCACAGAAGGAGAAGAAGCTTAGAGGATACCATCTGATTTGTGTAAAACCACATCTTACACTTGATGATCACTCTGACATTTGCTTGTCAAAAACCTACACCCTTCTGTGTTTGTGGAATTTGTTTAAACAAGAGACAAAGTGTTACCTGGACCAAAATAATGCTTATCTCCTTTACATTTTTTTACACTGATCACACGGTGCTTGTTGACTCAACTACTTTTTTCTTCATGATCTAAACTTTGGTTTTCTACAATATCTTGAAACATTAAAAGAATGATGTGTCTGAAATCAAATAAAGCAGAACATCCTAAAATGACTCCTAGAAATACAGCAGCATAAATGATTGATTCAGTCATTGTGCATAGTCAAGGTGATTGTATCTATCTTTGAAAGGCAGAATGGAAACAACCACCAGCAACATAAGGGCAAAACCTTATAGCTACAACACAGGCATAATAAAAACATACTATACTATTAATTCTGATGATTGTAGAAGCACATTCACTCTTAACACTGAGAGTTTGCAAAGAACGTAAGATGTTTTTCAATTACCTATATGCACATATACATATATATTAAGAGAATGTGAGTGGAGAACCAAACAGGAATGGGGGGAAAGTATATTTACTATTCAATAACTGCTTCCCTTTCTCCTACTCTGGTGTTGTATTTTTTCTTTCAGGTTTCCCT